TGTGATTAAGGACATCGTCACACTACACTGCAGTCTTTTCTATGACCACAGCAACCAGGGAAACTTTTGGAGAGTTTCCCTGTTCTTGGTGTGGATAGTAGTCTTAGTCTGGTAGCAGGAGGGTCAAGGACAAACAGAAGCCTGTTAGTATCTAACACATTCATTGTAACTAGACCCTGACACAATCAAACACCAAGCTCATTAGACTTCTTACATAATTCCTACCATCTGGTCAGAGACTGCAAGACAGTCAGATCCTCTTCTAAGAAGTTTTTACACAGCAGTAGTAGAAGAACACATTTCTAATGAGTCATGTCATGAGAAAACGTCATGGTTTAAACCTAGCCAGCAACTAAGTACTATGCAGCCACTTGCTCACTTTCCCCTACCCTGTGTGATGGGAAGGAGAATCAGAAAAAGGTAAAACCCACGGGTTGAGATAAGAACAGTTTAATAATGGAAATAAAGCAAAATATAATAATAATAAGGTGGGGAGAGGAATAAAACCCAAGAAATACAAGTGATGCACTATACAATTGCTCACCACCCACTGACCGATGCCCAGCCTGTCTCCAAGTAGCAGGTGGTGGCTCCTGGCCACCTCCTCACAGTTTTTATACTGAACATGATGTTCTATGGTATGGAATATCCCTTTGGCTAGCTTGGGTCAGCTGTCCTGGCTGTGGTGTCTCCTGGCTTCTTGTGTCTCTTCTCACTGGCAGAGCATGGGAAACCAGAAAGTCCTTGATCAGGGCAAGCACTACTTAGCAACAACTAAAACATCAGTGTCTTATCAACATTATTCTCATAGTATTCTCAAAACACAGCATTCATTGTACCAGCTACTAGGAAGAAAATTAACTCCATCCCAGCTGAAACCAGGACAGAAAACAAAGAGCCTTTGACTTCAATCATTCTACTCTTTTCTGGTTACTGCAAGGGAATATTATATTTTCACTGTCTGCTTCTGCCACCAGCTGTTAATAAAAAGCTGGTATTAATCGAACAAACAGTCACTTATAACACACTGCAACAGTCAACAATTTATCTATTATCACTGGACAAATGGACCTGGGGTCCACAGAATTGAACAGAAGGGCTAAAAAAAGCTAGAGGCTTTGGAGTAGCACAAATCAAACTCACTGCTAACACCCTCCAAGCTACATGCAAGGAAGAGTTGGCTAGATGCCCTCTGGAGGCTGCAGCCTACAGAAGGAAAGAAATAACCCAAACTAGTATAAATCAGCATATACTATTTTTATGAAGTTGTTCTGAAAAATACATATTATATGCCCAGTACACTCTACAAGTAAGCTGGGAGTGTCTTTTACCCATATTAATGAGGCCAAAGAGCAGAGGTTTTGGTTGGTTTTTTTTTTTTTCAGACAGTGGGTACTGAGCTAGAGCATACCAGCATGGAAAATGAGGAAATAAACTAAATATCAGGAGATTTTTGGTCTCCTTGTAGGCAAGCACCGAAGCACCAAAATATTTGTGGTTTCTTGTGCATAATGAAAAGCAGTAGACTTTAAGGAAAAACTGCAGAGCCACCTGGGAAACAAAAGTATAATAATCAAAATCAAATGAGGTAATTTATGTCTGAATTATTTTAATAAGTGAAATGAGGCAGGAGAGTGCACAGATCTGTTTTCATTGGATGAAGAAACCAATCTTTTGCTAGCGGAAAAAGAAAGCTATACTTCCTTACAGAAACAAATTTTTAAAAAGTATAGTAGCTTCTGACATTTACCTAAACTCAGTTTGCAGGAGGCAAGAAGGGACAGTAAGGAATATTCTTGTTGTTATATTTTACACCTGTGACAGTGGTCAGCAATGGAATAAGATACTGGGCTAAAGGGACCTCTGAATAGATGATTTTATGTTCATGATTGACCTCACATGGAGTATTGTGTACAGTTCTGGTGTCCTCAACATCATGGAGGAACTGTTGGAACAACTCCAGAGAAGGGCCATGAGGATGATCAGGGGACCGGGGCACCTCCCGTATGAAGACAGGCTGAGAAAGTTGGGGCTGTTCAGCCTGGAGAAGAGAAGGCTGCGTGGAGACCTCGTAGCAGCCTTCCAGTATCTGAAGGGGGGCTATAGGGATGCTGGAGAGGAGCTCTTCATTAGGTACTGTAGTGCTAGAACAAGGGGTAACAGGTTAAAACTTAAACAGGGGAAGTTTAGATTGGATACAAGGAAGAAGTTCTTTCCTGTTAGGGTGGTGAGGCACTGGAATGGGTTGCCCAAGGAAGTTGTGAATGCTCCATCCATGGTGGTGTTCAAGGCCAGGTTGGACAAAGCCTTGGGTGGCATGATTTAGTGTGAGGTGTCCCTGCCCATGGCAGGGGGGTTGAAACTAGATGATCTTAAGGTCCTTTCCAACCCTAACTATTCTATGATTCTATGATTCTTCATAGGCTACCATGGGGATTTCAGAATGGAAGCACTCAAATTTCCAAATCTAGCTGTAAACTTCAGACTAAAATCAGCTTAGAAACTATGAACTATAGTACCCTGTTTCTTGCTAGGATATTATTTCTGGACTGTACTGTGGAGATTTTAGATAGGCCTGAAAATTCTTCAAATGGGATTTGTTATTTATGTAGATGGGGGCATGAAAGATACCTTTTCACTCACTTCCAGTATTTGTTATTAGTATTTGTATGCTGTTGAACCAGTTATTTGCTAATCCCTAACAAATAATCCTCTCATCCCTGCCTTCTATAAAGAATAATTTCCAAAGACTTTAAGTACCTCAGGTTTAAACAGTCTTATTTAACATCTGTCTCATCACTTCAAAGAATAAAAGAAGTACATCAAATGTGAAGATTTGAATTTGTTGAATTTGCTAAAATAGCAGGTGAGAATACAGGCACTACCAAACCAAGGAGTCCATAAAGAAATTAGAAAATTCTTTTCATATTTATCCATGACATTTTTGTGCCATGCTTAATGTTGTAGCTGGAACTGTAAATAGAGTTTTCTTCCTGCTTAGTAAACCCCCTTCCATAAGTTGTTCATTTGATACCATACTTGGCTTTTATTAACGGCCTCAAATGTTGCAAGGTAATGGGATTTGAGAAAAGCAGTCCTTCACATTTTACCAGATAGGCATTACAAGTGAGCCACTGAATTCTCAACATGCATGATGTTCTTTACACTGATGTAAGTTTTGTCAGGCATTCATGTACCAGTTAAGTCAAAGGCCTTGAAAACAACCTTGGTTTCAGCAGCGCTGTATGCCTGGTGCAGAAAAAGTAAGCAAAGTACTCTAGAGAGTTCAGCTGATAAGTGTTTTCTTGTTTATGAAGAGCAGACAAGCATCCCAGATGTGATCTGACTGAAGTTAACATCACGACCCAGACAGACTTGAACAGTGATTAGATTCCCTGTTCCCTTCCTTGTATTTGGAATATTTTAACATCAGTTTAGCACTAATAAAAGGGATATAAGTAGCATTCCCAAAGCAGTACTTTCAGAGATGATTAGTTTCAAACTTGACAACAGTCCCTGGATTAAGAGACTGCCAAATACCACCCATCAATCATTATTTTTTTCCTGTTAAGCAACTAACACCTGAAGAAAAAGTGGTGGCCAGCTTTCTCTGATCACCTAATGCTTGTGAGACCTTGTTGTGGTACCTGTGCATTAAAATCTCTGGCAGTCAGGTATGGAGCACTTAACAATGATACCAAGTTACTCACTATCCTCTCCAGTTTGGCATGGCAGAGCTATAGTAAGCACATGGTAGGCAGGCAAATGCCTGGAGAGCTGAAGGAGAATTCTGCAACAAAAATTGTCTTAGGAATGGTGCTACACTAACGTTTCCTAGTTACCCTGCACTGAGAACAGTGAGATATAAAAGGTTTGAGGAATTTTATGCAGTTGCTAACACTGTTCACCACAAAGTTTTGACTTTATTAGGAAATCTAGGAAGGTGTGACCCTGAGATGCTTTACTGCAGACAAGAAGACAGCTGGTTCCACCTCTGTTCAGTCAATAACCTCTGCCAAATGCAAAACAGTTAGTTATTAAGCCTTTGAAACTGCCACAAGATGCTACACAGAAACCTCCAAAATCAGAGCGCCATAAACAGAATTCTGAGTAATTTAAGATTCGGATTTCATTTGGCAGCTTGATATGTACTTAAAAATGTGGAGATGCAGCAAGGACTGGTCCTGCTGAGTTGATAATTTGCAGAATTGGGTCTGTGTACCTCCAATGTACTGTGTACCCAGTGCTCCTCTCCACCAAGCAGAGAGGGTCAGGCTGTCCAGAAGTACCTTATGAACATCTCAGTGTTTTGTGCAAATTCATGATGCTTCCCTGTGTATCCATGGCAAAGAAGGAAAGCAAGTTCTTAATTTCTTTACTTGAAGAACAGATGGAAACAGACACAAAAGTTGTTGCCAGAGGCCATCTGAGGACCCAGATAAGGATTTCTTGTCTACAGTACCCAAAATAAGTATACTAAACAAATGGGCATATTTCAATATCAGTTATTTATTCAAGGCAGGAATTGCATCATTGTGTGTGATTGCAAACTTCAGGCAAACAAAGGAATATGTAATAATCAAATCTTTAAAAGATTAGAACCTTGCACTTTAGAAATGAGTCATTTCTAAAACAAAGGCAAATGAGGAAGAAGGGAAAGGTCATGAATAACTGACAGACCAAAATCTTTTCCCACAAACCAGATGATCAGACATTGTGCAAATGTATGTACAGAATGATTTAATTTCTTACCCTCCCAATCCATTCGCCTGCACCCCATTGTGGAGAGCATGGAAAATACACTTGCCTCAAGAAAAACAATCACAGCAAGTTGTCGTTTATCACTTCCATACACTGTGACTGATTGTAAAAGACTTTTTGTTAGCAATATAAAAATACTATTGCAACTGCTGTACAAAGTTGAAGGGTGACAATCAGCATGATAGATTCCAACACATTTCCAAGAGAATCCCAGGGTGTGATTGACAGCAACTTCTTACCTGACAAGATAGCAAATTGCCTGTGCAGCTGCTCTATTATATCCACTGCAACCAGTGGCCGTATCTCCTGCTGCATGATTTCATCTGTGCAAGTGAAAACAGAAATATTCAATGAGTTAATAAAACCTTAATGACAATTTTCCAGCAAAATAAAGATGATACTCAAAGGGAAAAGAGCCTGGCCTTGAGTATTGGTTCAGACTGTCACAGAGAAGTTTATGATACTTACAGAGTCTCATCTGCAGTGTACATACTTTATTGCCTTGTGATTCCACAGCTTTCCATAAAAGAGCTCTAGTAGACTTGGCAGAGCTTGTCACAGGTTTGCTGAAGCTGTCAGCCTGTTCCTTTCTTCTTCATGCTCCATATTAAGCCATGGCATCTGGCCTCCCACATGAAGCAGCTTTTCAGTTTTTGAAAAGCTTTTACATTTTTTTGAAACAGTAAGATCTATTTCAGATACAGTGCCATGTTCCACCCTGAACTCCCTGGTCTCCGCTTGAGGACTTCGTGTAACCAACCAATTCAGAACAGTTTCCTTTGCTGATGCCTTTTCCACTACAAGCAAATACATAGTAAAAGGAGGAAATAAGGAGCCATGAGGCTTCCTTCGCATGAAAACAAAGCCTGTTCTTTTGAAGCAAACACTGAGAAGTTAAAAAATAACATGGCAAACAGCTGGGGGGAGGGGGGGAAGGGAAATCACAATTTTTGTGTGTGATCTATTTAGTGACCAGCAACTATAATCTCACATTGAGCTAATTTGACCTCTTTCTGTAGCAGGTGCACCCACATGTTCTCCCCATTCTTCACCCCAGACCAGCAGCATTTACTCTGGAATATCTGCCAGCTTGGCTGTTTATGTTACAATAGTACTTATTGTAATTAGGCCTTTAGCCACTGTACAGCTACAGAACAATCAGTCATGGCTTTTACAGCTCATTTCTAACTGCCCAGACAACAGGTGGAAAGAAGAAATCTGGATCTAGATAGACCACAGACCAGAGTTAAGGCAGGCAGTTGCCCTGCTTAAGGATCAAGATTTTCATTGACGTCAATACCGAATTATTTTAGCACACCTGGTTTCAAACAAACTGTCCAGAAATAGAGAGGGAGGTCAGAGAAGTTAGAAACCAGCTTCTTTCTCCTGCATCCTAGTCTGCTTTGCAAAATGCCATCTCTCTCTTGCTTTCAGACATCCACTCCGATCCTTTCCAGAGCTCAGGATTCTAGATTTTAAATGACACTATGGAAACTTTTTGGTTCGTTTTCAAATGCTTCACTAAAAACTTGAGACAAAGTAACCAAAGAACTTGTTGCCCTCCTAGACAGATGGTGACGCACAGTATTGGAAGAAGTTGCGCAGACTTTGGCTGATGAGCAAAAAAAGGCAGTAATTCCAAGAAATTTGGAAAAATAAAAATCTCAAGAAGGCTGATTCTGCAAATCCTCCCTTTGAACTAAAAAGGGGAAATTAAAACTATAATGAGGGATGGTTTCGATGTGGGATCTTCACTTCCATATCGTTTATGCACCCCACTATCAGCTTCACTGATTCTTGACATTGCAGGTGGCTAACAATAACTGGAAGAGCAAACTAATGAAGCTAAAGAGCTTGGTTTCAGTGATGTTTTGCCAGTATGAAGGCATCATTAATATCAATCAGTCTTGAGAAAACCAAAATCCCCTCTCCCTCTTTCATATGGGTGTTTTATTAAGTTGCTCTAAAAATAGCTTGGTTTCTGATTTCTAAATATCTTTTTTTTCTACCAAAAGAATATTGTGGTGTAGGGATAAGGTGAAGTAATAGGAACAAGAACTGCAGAGTGCCAGTTAGTTCTCACCAAACCCCCTGCCTGGGCAAGCTGTGCCATATGGGATTTGCTGTAAACCCTACATTCAGCAAGAGACTTTCAGATGATGAGAAAGGTGGTATAAAATATATCTGGTGACTAGGAATCACACGCTCAAGAAAGGGCACAGCTCATACACTGACATGCTGGGAAAAGAACTTGTAGCATAAGAAACTAGCAGAAGACTGAGAAAACCTGAGGAAATAAGGAGAAGGTGCTTCACAAGCCCAAATGGAAAATCAGATGACGTGGCTATGAAATGGCAGCAGCTGTAGCCAACAGCACACAAGGTCACATTTGCCCTCTTCCATCTTCCTTTAGGACAGTGCTTAAAGGTAGTTACTCTTCAATATTGATAAATTTGTAATAGCATTACAGAGCTTGCAAAAAAAGTCCTAGTCTTTGGGAACACATGATTACCTGGGGCTGCTGAAGGAAGTTTAATCATTGACTAAAATAAAACTGTGATTTTTTTTTTAAAAGCAAACCAGACAATAGGGTTCTGGCTTAGTTTTACAGCCACACATTTTACCTAGCATTAGTGAGCATCAATACGTTCATATCTTCCACTATTCCAGGAGGCTCTGCAGCCTTCCTGATCTGTGCACTGCAAGTCACAAGCCTGCAGGAAGTGGTGTTCAGCCTCTTAGGTGGAAGAAATTTGCCATTTTCCTGCAGGACAGATACCACAGCAAAGAAAACCCTGCTTTTTACTTACTGATAATGGGCATGTTTTAATCCATTACATGGGGACCCGAAAGTCAATGAGAAAGTTTTAGAAACCTGATAAGCCACAGGAGCTCTGCAACAACTGCCTTGCTTCATTGCACCTAATTAATATCTGCAGAAGAGCTTGGACAACTCCTGGTGACTATAAAGTAGTCCTGTTCTCTGATAGAAAGTCTGTATAGCCATGCAACTAAAGATCACACCAAAACATACACCAGGCAAGTGGCTGAAATATGATCATCTTGGCAACATTGACTCAGGCGTTTCCTAGCTTCTCTGTCACTATTCTTGTGGTTTTAGATTTTTATTTATTTATTTATTTTTAATTGAAGAGGCAGTCACACATAAGCTTGCAAATTTAAAAAAGAAAAAAGCTTAACTGATCAAATAGTATTAAGTGAAACACCACCAATCCCCTGTGTAGGTCACCAAAGTTCAATCTTTACATATACCGTGCAATTCTTCATTAGTTGAGCTAGCTGAATTTGCCAAGACAATTAAGTCAGTTCATCTATTCTTGGTTCTCCTTTTAAAATTGCTATAAATTCAATTCCTAGAGAGAGCAGAAAAATCAGGCCTTATGGTTTTGCTTGCCAAGGTTTCCTATGAAGGAGGAGAAAAAGAAAAGCAATTACCATCGCTTCTCCTCCCTCCCAAACCTCTAGGGAGGTTAACTGCAACTGTGCTATCTAATCTTTAAGGGGAAAGCCATTCAGCTACGCTTCATAATGCCTCACTCAAAAATGAAACATGCTTGGGCTTCCCCACACACATGCTTGCCTATTTTATTTCTTGCCACAGCTGTATGTATTCCTGCAGCAGGTGCGGAAGGAGCACAGCCCACAGATTGCTGCCTTCAGAGCTACACCAACAGCAGCTGATTAAAAACAACAAGGAATATAATCTTTTCCCTTCTTCTCTGAGCAGACAGAAACTAGTTTACATGCTAATGGCAACTAACAGCTTCCAACAGTATTGAGAAGATGACCTGCTGGAGTGAAAGACTGGACTGCACTGAGTAGATTGACACAGCAGTGCCTGTTGCTTCATGAAAGTCAAACAAAAGCAATGAGCCATAACAGTATCTCTTTGGTTTTTAGTGGGTGAATGCTACAACTGCCTGGCCTTCTGTTGAGTAGGAGAGGGAGGTGCTTCAATCCACCATCTAAAGTCACTACTCTTGGAATAATGGGTTACAAATTTCCAGCATAAGGCCAGAGATTTAATTTTAAGAGCCTGAAAGGACACCTAATATTATGTGCTAATTCTTCTTGAAAAGTACCAAAAGGCAACACAAATTCAGAGTTCAAAAGTTGCAAAGCACCTACAGTTCAAATGTTCTCAAGTCCTGTGTCTGCTTGCCATGAACAACAACAGTTAGCTAGGAGTCTAGCAGAGCTTAGTTAGATTTCAAGAATTAAACACACTAAGGAGACAAAATTGCCTATCTTTGCTGACAAGGTTTAAGCAGTCTACAGGATTCGAAAATATTCTGTCCACCAGAATTTTCAATGCGAACCCTTAAGCAAAACATTTCCCTTCCTGAAGGCCAAAACCAACTTCTGTGTTATTACATCAGAGAAAAGAGCTCTTGGTTTGAATTTGGGTTGCAGGGGATATTTTGTAATTCTAGTTATTTCTCTCTCACACCATTTGTGGCTTTTGTTTACTTTTTGAAAAGGTTTATTCTTTCAGCCCAGACAGAAACAGCAAGATCAGTTCCTGATACAAGCTGGCTGTGCTACAGACTGCTTGCTTTAAAGAAGAACTAAAACTCCAGCTATAAACAGAAAGGAAATCCCATCCTTTCTCTTATTTTCCTGCGCATTTGCATCATCTTTTTTTGTTGTTTTTTTTTTTTTTTTTTTTTTGCTAACCCATGCTGAGTCAACTGAAAACTAAGCCAGGAAAAAAGTTACTGGAATAAAGTGAAGCCGTTTTTTCTTAGTTGATTGCTTCTTATTTGGGTTAGCTCTCTGTAAAGGATCTTGAAGGGTACAAGTGCTAGTAAGGCATGGATGGGAAATGGCAAGGCCAGGACTACCTCTTCCAGCAGAGAATCACATGTCAGCTTAGAGAAAAAGCCAAAATGCAGCATAGGTAGGTGACTGGTGTCATCTTTTCTCTCAGATCATTTGCTAATAAAACACAACTATAAAACCTACAAAGTGTATTTGTTGAAATGCAATTTCTGTTCTCATTAAAGCCAAGTTTCAAAGCAAGGTTTGCTAACTAAATTCCAAGGAGAGAAGATTCTCCTAAAATATTTAAGTAACTCTGTTAATGTTTGGAGAAATCCCTAAAATATTTGTTTCTTTAGTTGGTTGGTTTGGGGTTTTTTTGGTGGGTTGTTTGCTTGTTTTTAACTGTTACACCAAACCAAACTTCGTTTGATTTCTACTACTAATGTAGTAGAAATCTGGACAAGCAAGGCCAGGAGCAACACTCCAGCTGTCTTGTGTGATCCATGCCTGATATGCTGTCATCCCTCGAGAAGGGACA